GAACGAATGCACAGAACAATCATGGGTATGGCGAGAAGCATGCTGTTTGCCAGCAGCTACCACTACAATTCTGGGGCAACGTCGTGAAATGCGCAAGCTAATTCTAAACAGAAGCCCAACCAGATCGAATGCTGGAAGGACGTCACCAATTGAGGCTTTGACTGGCAGCACAGAAAACGTGGGAGACATAGCTGTATTCGGATCGCTATGCAGAGTGTTTGGAGACCCAGGGAAAGCAAGATGAGCTCTAAAGAAGCGTTCGGAGTCAGTTACCATCCTGGGGATTTCAAAAGAAATCAAAGGATACATACTTTAACTACATAACACGAACACGAAGAAGGTGATTGTCACCACTCACTTGAAGTCCATAGAGAGGTTCACGGAAGCCCGAAATGCAGAATTTCAAGCGAGAGCACAGAATGTGCTTCAAAATCAGGATGATGGAGGAGCAATGGTTGACCAACACCCATCAGAAGACAAGAAAATCGAAGTGGTAAGGAGGTCCACGTCAAACAAGGCTTCGAACAATAAGAGCAGTAAGAAACCTGCTGAGAGGATGATTACAAGACAAACTTCACAACAAAAGAGCAATGAGGAGACTGCCAATCTAGTGATCAACGATCCTAGAACCTACAATCAAGCAATGAAGAACAAGGATAAAGACCTATGGACTGTTGCGATTAAGTCCGAACTTGACTCATTAGAACAGAACGGCTTGTGGATACCAGTGATGAAGAGAGAAGACATGAAAATATAAAATACCATCTGGGTATCTAAAACCAAGACCTAACGCAAAGGTGGAATAGAAAGACACAAAGCAAGAATGGTTGCATGCGGAAATGAACAAGTCTTTGGTGAGGATTTCATGCTTACATATGCGCCTGTCATGGAAATGATCACTGCCAAAGTGATATTGGCAATGGCGCAACACTGGAAGGTACCAGCTAGACACGGAGATGTGCCTAATGCTTACGTTAAAACATCCGCCGAAGAGGAATTCTTCATTTATATCAAGATCCCACAAGGGGTGGAGATACGGGATCAAGTATTGAAGGAGTTGGGCGTGAATTTTGTAAATGAAATCGTATTGCTACTACTTCAAAGCCTTTACGGCTTGAAACAAGCCTGTAGATTATGGAATCGGTACTTAGTACAATATTGATCGATTTAGGATTGAAACAATCGATTGTTGAACCATTTTGTTCTATAAGAAGGATGATCGTGGAATATTACTCGTTGGAATATACGTGGATGATTTATTGGTCACTGGGACCAATGGCGACTTAGTGAACGAGCTGTTTAATTCACTGAAAAGCTTACAAATCGAGGACATGGGAGAGGCTAACAAGTTCTAGGGAATGAGAATCATCACACGAAGAAGATTATTTTCTTGATCAAGAAAACCATAATGATGACCTTTTAAACCAATATGAAATGAATGACGCAAAAGTTACAAGAATTCCAATTGATTCTGGACATTTAAATGACGAATCCAGCCCTAATTGCACGATCCAAAAAATTTCAGGTCACTAGCGGGGAGTTTGATGTGGATTTCGCTTTGCACGCGTCCAGACTTGTCATTTTCCGTTCATAAGATGACGAGAAATACCCATGATCCGAGGGAACAAGACTTACAACTTGGTAAAAGAATTCTACGACATTTAAAGGAAACAAAATGTTTGAAGTTGAAGATGAGAAATCAAGAGCGAACTGAAGGCTTACCTAATGGTTTTATCACCGGCTACAGCGATGCAGACTTCGCTGCAGACACTGAGGACCGCAAATCCATGATTAAAGGAGTGATCTCTGTAGGAGGGTGTAATGTCGGATGGATATGTCGAAATCAGGCATCAGTGTCGCAATCAACGGCAGAGTCTGAATTCATAGCGGCATCGGTCGTAACAACCAAATAACATGGGCTTTACAATATTTTGGATGGAGTTGGCATTCAAGGGATTCATAAATGGTTACTCTTTGCCGATAACCAAGCAGCTATATTGCACTTGAAAGGAGAAAGTTCGACTTCTAAACTCAAGCATGTCGATATACGCTATAAATATGTACGAGAACGTATCAGAAACGGAATGTTGGAGGTGAAATACGTACAGAGTGAAAAAAAAACTGAAAGCCGATTTGATGACAAAGGCTTTGTCGGCGACTAAACTTGAGGACTCCGCGCGCTTTGTGGTCTCGTGGACGATGTACAGCACACCGAAGGAGTGTTGGAACAAGTTAAGTCTTCACCTAAGTAAGCCAGGAGGAGTTATGAAACTCCCAACCATTTGCATAATTACATAGCTACAAGCAGAATACATTCACTTGAAAACTTACCTTTAAACCACCAGGTCCTTCCTTCCTATCTGTCATTTACAGCACTTTGTGCAGAATTAGCATATCGGGCCACCGATTTAGTTTAACATTATCATGGTCCAAGCGACAACAGTATAATCTGTGCACATACCGTAACAAAGAGCGTGATCTGTGCATAACCATCGTGCTGCTCTACAAGCTAGTTGAAATAAAACAAAAAGCTGCGCTCATTCATCGCTTAATGCTTGCCTTTCCGAAATTCATAACGTGACGTTAGCGTCAAGACGTGCACTAGTCCCCACCTTCAGGCGGTGCTGTTCACAGACCTACTCATACCCATGTAAAACCTGAACAAAGGCTGGCTCAGCTTGTTAGTGTGTAGTGTGCTGCGCTGCTCAAACTTTTCTCTCGCTTTGAATAGGAAGAGAAAGATGATGGTGCAGCGGGGCTGCCGTAGCTTGCGCTTTGAGAAAGCGTAATTTAGGTCACCGTCCTCTCCATCTATACTCAGAACAAGTACGAGTTTAGCGGATCGCCATGAGTAATTATAGCCCTAACCCGAGTCTAATTAACTCTTCGGTTTAAATTCAAAACTGACTTTATTTTTATCTACAGCAAAGCCGCCAATTATTACATGCATAGATTTTCCTAAATATGTATAGTAAAATACATGTATAAACTACTGCATAGATTTTCCTAAATGTGTATAGTAAAATCTAAATACATATATAACTACTGGCTATCCATCCCCGTACCGTATTCTTGTTTGGGTGTGGTCACACATGCCTATCTGGTGTGACACACACCCCTGTTACCAGGTATGTGTAACCCCGTTACAGATGGTAAGCTAAGGCGCCCACGACGCCAGGGCAATCGTGCCGAAGTGGGCCATCAACTTGAGTTATTGATGCAATGGTGACGTTTTCACGCTATCAGGTACTGGTTAACTCATGTAAACACACCGGCCCACAATCCTTTTTCACATGTAGGTGTTGATCGTCGACCAGTGGCGGTTGAGGGCGACCCTCATGTAACCGGCTCTCATGCATGTTTGAGCGTCGACTATCTCCGTGGGTCAGAATGTCGTCGAATGTGGGCATACGTCGCCCTTGGCACGCTCGCGGAGCTGTGCACTCGGAAATGTTCTGTTCGAGACATCTAAGGTAAAGCCACTGGGACTTGCTTTGTCTTTAAGTGTGTTTCACATTCGAGTAGCACATGAAGGCCAGGTTGTAATACGGCTTCAGAAAGCTCAAGATGAATTTACTTTTTCGGTCGAAGTATAGCTCAGTACTTTGCGGGTTCGACCGTAAAGGGTTCATTGCAGCGGCAACTTTGTCTTGCAGACTGGTTGGCCAACACGTCTAATTATAGCCTGTCGCCCACAAAAAACATATGTATATTGTCTGCCTTTGGCATCTGCATTCTGCTTCTGTGTATCATAGCTTCCAGTTTAGTATCGGTCAATTGGCGCATAACGCTCAATATCTTCGAGTGTCGCAACGAAGTGCAGCCAGGCTGACATCAGCAAACTGAGCACTACTGAAATCTACTCTCCTTCCTGGACCGGAATCTCTTTGTGTAGGTGTCTAGAACACGGATGTCGTAAACCCAGGCTCTAAAGTAAAATGGATGTGTATACCAATATTGAACTTGTACGCAAAGAAAGAATGCAAGTCGCTCCAGCATCGCAGTTGTTCCGTGCAAATACTTCGGAGGGATCCTTCACCGCGCAATGAGCGTGTCGTGTCTGGCTACCTGCTTGCGAATGGGCAGAGGTCGATATGTTTAAACTTGTGTATGTTTCTTTGAAGAAAGCTCGCGACACTTGAAACTTATACGCGGATCTCGATCCGACATAATGACAATCCGTAAGCCGTCATAGCAGGAAAAGAACAGTTGCGATATACTTTAACTGGTAACGACTTTGTTGACAGCAACATGGTGTATTTGCCCAAACGATCCACAGAGACCACATTGTCGGAATCATCGGAAGATACTCTACAAAGATTAGAGACAGAGTCTAAACAAATGATTTTGGCCTAGTCGACAGGTTTGCCATGGTGCTGAAACATACGGCAAGGAATCTTACTTGTTGACACGCTGCACACATACGAACACAAGCGTCTCCATGTTTGTACATGTAAACAATCTAGTTATAAGATTTTAAGCGAGGCGGTCTCCCATGGGTTAGCCTCAAGCATTATGTAAATTTGACGTCTTCATCATGACCTCATGCTGTGTATCAACGGGTCAAGACTGGAATACGGCAAGCCTTGAGACAAGGGCAGCGATGTACATTCAACCTCAAAACACTTCTTTTTTTTTCAAAGTTCTGAATAACATATTACCTACTGAATCTGACGTGTATGTGCATCCTCGGTGCGTGATGTCACCCAGTATGTATCAATTTGCATTTCGGGCGGCGCGAAAACACAGCAGCCACAACATTTCTCCAATCAGGCCATCAAAGTTACTAAAAAAGTAGAATCACCATTTTCTACTCACTACAAAGGTGTGGCAAAGATGTCGCCATGCGTGATGACGCACAAAAATATGAGTCATTTTGGCATAACGCACAGCAGGTGTATACTCAGCTTGACATTAGCATATCTTATAGAGAGGTGCTCTTCATAATGAATTTAATACTATCATCTACCGCTTCAAGATAGTCAGCTATAACCAAAATGAGTCTATGGACACCAGTTTGCAGTCAAGCACAGCCAGCCAGGATATCACCCGAGGGCATAAATTGGCCGGATTGGGTTTAAAATTACCAGAATAAGGTCACACATAATTTCCTCTGCAATTGGTTGCCTTTAAAATAATCTTTTGGACGATTGGCGAGAGGCCGGGTGGTTTTGTCAGCATAGCTCACACTCTACTTGTGCAAATATCTCGTCAGACCAAGAATACTGCATGATACACCCGACCATGCGCATGCAACATGCAACATGCATAATTCGCCACTCGCCGTTAGTTTCTTAAGCAAAACGCCAGCTCTCAATAAAAAAATTTGCTTCGTCGTTGCGGTGGGTGACCGCGTCTTTTTAGCTGGAGGATGAAGTCAGTAGGTGCGCCAGGTCATAAGCGGCAACATTGCGAGGGGAACCTTGCTAAAGCGAGATCCTAAAATTCCGTGACCCCCCCCTTGAAAATATTAGATGATAGTTACAGCCCTGGAGAACATACCGCTCACTCTTGTTCGACGCGAAAGTGGACAAACCCTTACCCATTTACCTTGCTGTTGCTTTCTCTCCAGAGTTTTCTTAGTATTGGCGGCGCACCGTCTCGCTATGACGACCTCTACGTGCGTCCGATACAGACATGGGACTATTCCAGGATTCACTTGCCAATCTGCATAATCCGACCGTTGACCTGAGGCGCTTGAGCGGATCGTAACCGCAGATCCAAATATTGCTCAGCGACGAAATATTTAGGACAAATATGTCTCAACTGTCGGTTCCACATGTGAGTGGCTGGTGAGAGCGGTGCCGTGGTAAGGCTTCGGTACGCCCACCTTAGTGTCGCTTAATCATTGTTGGATACAACCAAAAGAGGTCAAATGTATCAAGAACATTGGTTAGTCATATAAAAGGCAGATCGCGCACTTATCGATAAATCCACAGCACTTGTATCAGCCATATTCGAATGTGTTTCGTTTGATTCTGTTGCTGTAGCAAATTCTGACTGATAGCCGTATTGTCGCATATATGATGCGTGACGCAAAATGAAACTGTTGATTTTGGCGCAGAGTGTAGTTAGGTTCACATCAGCTAGCTAAACTGTATCGCCGACTCCTCAACAATATCGGAGACATTTTTGGCGGTGTCAGAAGGACACAGAAGTTCATCGCCCAATATTTATATATCAGGTAAACAGCCTATTGAGAGCATTGATGCAGGTGCTTCACACAAGTGCTTCGGAGATATCTCCCACCACGCGCTTTACACGTTTCGTCCGCCCATCAGTCTGGGAATAGTAAGCAGCGGGTATGTCCAGCCTGCTCTTAAGCTTAGCCAATGGTTTGCTGTTGAGCGTATTTTAGTCCGAAATAATGGCATCGCCAAGTTAAGGTCGACAAAGCGTTAGTCAAGGAGCAGCTTGACTGCAATGCCTCGGGTGATGACATGCACTATCGAGCTCAGATGGTGCACAAAGATCATAGAAACGGTGTTGTCAGGCGTGCTGTTCGTGAACAAAGTATGGTTGTTGCTGACGGGTGCCAGTATTCTGCCAGAATCGACGAAATAACCATGAATACCGATCCAGCGACATGTTTCATACGTGCGCACAAATGTGCAGAGTAACTTGTTCATTTTGAGTACCAGTACATAGCTCTCACCAAACCATATGTCTCTTAAGAGGATTGTCTAATTATGTGCCTCATCTATATTCCCGCGCCCGAGTCCCTTCTTATAGATCCTATCAACACATTGAGGATGAAATGAATCAGGGCTGTGATACGGCGAGCCCTGAAACAAGAAATAGCGATGAAAACGCGCTTGTAAACGCTTGATAGACATACATATTGTTCACCAGATATTACTATAAAACACATATTGTCTGACCGGTATGCCTTAAATATCGCCTCGCCACTGCTGGGCGATGACATTTTGATATACGAAACTGGTCGACGCGAAAGCGTATCAATCACCACATTAGTTGGACCCGGCTTGTATCGTACCTTGAATATAATCTCGAGAAAGGAGGAGAGCCATTTTGTCATTTTCTGCATGAGATGTGGTGACAACGTCGCTACGCATAACGGTGCATGACCTCAATATATCACAAATGCCTTCAAGCTCAATTTGTTTGCTACGCTTGACAAGAGCATACTTCATTGAAAATACTTTGTTATGTGCTAGATAGAGTTTCTCAGTTACTTCAAGCTGGCGGTATTCAAACGCAATAACACGTTCGTGCGTGCTTATTGACATATGCTTGAAGTAAAGCCCAGCCTATGATAATTGAAGCTGAAGCACCACAGATTACACGGAATGATCGATTTGTACTCGGAAAACCGATAAGTGGAGCACATAGAAGGCTTTCTTTCACAGTCTTTATTGTTACCGCTTACTCAAGTGACAATTAATTCCAAGGTGGTTCAGAAGAAGCCATATCGGCGTAATAAGCCTTCTAATTGAGCAAGTAGTCGGCCAGGCCACTCCAGGCCGCCTATTCACATCCTGTTTGAGTAAATCACCGGCCACTCCATAACGGCATCCGGAATTTTCAAAGTTTGCCTGTGGATCACACTGTTCAATGATGTATCTTGAAAAGTGAGACTCTGCGTTTAGTACATATTTTGTCCATATTTAGAAACGGCTAGCTGTGACTTGTACTCTATGCAAGTACCTTTGATTTGGCAAGCTATGTTTGTTTAGACTAGATTTGCTTTTCTTGACTGTAGACCAATAACTATTCGCGAAATAGTTCAGTTTATATGCACGATGAAGTCTAAAGGGCTGTGACACCAGACTGATGAACTTTGCCGGTGTGTTGAACAGCCTCTGGGTCATTATATACCACTTCCAACCATCCCGCAAGACCACTAGAGTGAGTGGATTCATATTGTCTCTCATAAGCGGTAGATACCATCCATTAACGAGGACAAGAGTACTCATCTGACCATGCTGTTCTGCAGACCAGAAGTTTCTAGATATACGCGTATTCACCGAAGCGTTGTGTGTATTGAACTTGTTCCAAGCATGTACAATTTGTATAAAACTAGTCCCTGCTTTAAAGCTATTGCGCTATAACCATGCCAAAAGCGTAATATAAGTGTGCAGTCATTATTTGAGATCTCATCAAAGATTATTAGGAGACGGTGCGTGGGAGTCTATTTTTTCATCACCGAGTTGATCGATGGCTAGCGATCATTGAACCAATAGACATCTAAGATGACATTAATTCTCTTGCTCGACGTAACAGCCTTTCAAGTTGTCAAAGTCCAATACTGTACAAGACGGTTAAACAAACCGTTTAATTCATGCATTTCTGCGCCCCAGGCCGCGCGGTAAAGCTCTCCGTATTTGGTATATCTGCTACCTCGTTATACTGCCACCACTGCCTTCATAAATTGTTATAGAAATAAACGTCTTTGTTACAAGTACCTAGAAGTTTACAATAATACTTGATCAAAGAGCAATCAGAAAAGGTGGGTGAAAATCTAACATTATGCTTTTGAAGCTTAAAGCTCCATAATGTTTAATTAAAAAATTCTCGCATAAAGTAAGCGGTAAACTTACCCGGGTTATCCCTCGTCGTACGGTTTGAACTACGCTCCTCAACGTATCAGCCCGTCCCACGTCACAAAAAAAACTGAAGCGTTGATGCTGACAACCCAAACCCTGTTTATCTCTTTCAGATAGAATTGCTTTTTCTGAACAAAACTATTCGACCTCAATCTCCACAAGGTACAACAAGCCCAGCTCTTTTGCCAGTGTGCCGCCTTGCGCAATTAAGGACTTGGCATTTCGACGCAGAAGTTCGCCGGTCGACCCTACCCGAGAGACTTAATTTTTGCACCTCTTATCCTGATGAGTAGGGGACACGCACTTTATAAATGTTTCGCACTGTCATTGATATAATAGCGGCAATAATTCAGCGCTGATTGCCAGCCAAAGATCTTCCAACTTGGCTGAGGTCCATTGCATCTGTTGCACTCAAAATGCCATAACCCCCGCGCTGTAACCAGCTATCTGGATTGGGAAGTCCAGCGCATCCTCGAATTAGATACGATCAACGAGGTTGTCACGGGTTACACGTATCCTGGTATAAAGATTTGGGTCACACAAGATGGTGTGACTACACAATGGTGTGGCTACACCTTAACAAGAAGCTACTACGTGGCAGGACTGCAACTTGTTATGCACTTTCATTATTTTTACCATTTAGTTAGATAAACGTATAGATTTAGATATCAGCGGCTCTGCCGCAAATAAAACAAAAGAAATACATTTTGGATTTTGAGCGGAACAGTGTGTTTGCCCTGACTTAACGTTGTAGTTACACTAAAAGTTAGAGGTTTCGATTCGGATCCGCTACACTCATGCCGGTTTTAGTATAGAACGTAAGGTCGATGACGTTAGCTTAATTCCCGTAAGCAAAGAGCTACGGTAGCTTCGCTGCACTTGGTAGCACTTCTAGTCAATTTATACCTAAGTCGTGACAACTCATCCTCGGTGATGATGGAGCGAATCTCCTATTCGCCCCAGGGCATGCAAGACCGGCATAAAAAAGCTGATGTCTCTTCTTGGCCGAGGGCGTGCAACACTTTGCCTTGCAAGGAACTGAAGCGATAAGCGCGTGCCTAGAGGCGTTTCCGAGCTATGAAAATGCTCTGCTAGAGCACTCGAAGCAGAGGATTCTAGCGGTGACTGTGTCAATGTCGCCACCGTCAACGACGGATGACTCCTCCTGACTCAAGCCACTCATGGCGAGCGTTAAGACCTTCAGGGGTATGGATAAAAAGAATTCTCTATTTTGGGTGAGAGAGACCGAGATGACTGTGGCATCCGCAATGCTTCAAAATGAGAAACAGCGAGTGGTGTTAGCTACCTCCAAGCTCGGTGGTCGAGCGCAAGAGTGAGCACTGACGTGCGGTACTTCGGTTAAAGCGGCGGTTCTCTTCTGGATAAAGCCGAAGCGCTAGCTTTTGCGAGTGTTCTCGACGCCTAATCAGGCATATCGCGTGCGATCGCATTTCCTTGCCGCCTGATAGAACAATAAGGAATTGGTAGACTTTGTCCAAGAGTTGCGTACTCTTGTTGCCGGGATGGCAGCCGATCCTCTCCCCGAGGCGGTCAGTGGAGTCACAGTAACCTTCGGACTCGTTGCAACCTGCGCAAGTCACTTGAAGGCTCATCAAACCGACGTCCCGTTTCTCACCAGTCTGGTTTGTCGAAGGAAAACGACAAAACTCAGTAGGGCACTGGACGCCCTAGTGGGAAGAATTGAGTTCTGTTGAGCCTCAAAGAGGTGGAGCAGCAGAGCCCAGCCTCGAAAAGCTCTGTGCTTCTGAACACGGAACGTGTATGCAAGCCGGGCATGCTGGTCGTGAAAGCGACCGATAAAGGCTTTGAAAAGCCATGGAGGATCCTTTTTGACTCCGGGGCGTCGGGCGACTATCGTTGCCCCACGATAGGAATAAGTCGGCTGTATAGTGAGGCACTAAAAACGACAATTCACTTAGCGAAGGGGACATATGAAACGGTTCCGAGGGTCTCTGTGGATCTCGGTGTCAAGTTTCTTGGCTTTGATAGCGCGTAACGCTATTTAGTATTAGACTTGGAATCAAGGTTTAACCTCATCCTTAGTATGATAGATTGGAACCCCATGATTCATGGATTGATTGGAGGTTAAAGACCTTGGGCGCCACGCGCACGTCTTCCGATGGAGCTTTGGTGAGTCATGAACCCACCTCTGCCACAAAGCAAAGCGCTATTAGCGCAGACACTGGACCAGGACGGTCAACATGCTAGAGATCGGAGTGTCCGAGTTGTCTAACACTAAGGACGTATCGGACAAGACCCCTGAACGTGGCTCGCGAGCTGAACGTCGAGTAGCACGGTACCCACTGAGCGCTGCTCAAGTATCGGAGCAGTCGCTGCATGCCTTACGTGGCATCGTCCGCCAAGAAC